ATATAAATTGAATTTTGGGAAACTTTAACGGTGCTGCCAACTTTGGAAAATGTCATCCTAATTTACTGTGTTGACTTGGCATTGTACAGAAATGGACAACCGTATTGGTCTAGAAAAGTTAATTTATTTTTATTTTTACTTTTTTCCCTGTGTACAGGGGTAACACATTGTACTAAATATGTAAGGGCATGTCTACGTGGGTTTGATTACAGAAACTAAGAAAGTATTCTCTAAATAATGAAAAAAGAATAAGATAAGACTATAAGAGCAAGAAGCAATTTAAATATGTTCAGGGACCATTTTCATCTCCAGAATTAAGGATTATTTTGATGTTACATCATTGCCTTTTCTCTTTTACTTTCCTTTTTAGTTTTATTTTAGGATTCCCTATTCTTAACGTTCATACAGAGATTTCTTTAACTGAAATACCGAATAGTTTCTTTGGTGTGAAAAACTATAATAGTACACAGGATCCTAATGAGACAATTAATAATGTGAAATAGGAAGTAAAGGGCTAAAGGTGTAAGGAAAGTGGGAAGGGTGGGGGAGAGGTAATAAGGGAGAGGAAAAAAATATGAGAAACTGAAAAAATGGAAATAAAGTGTTTGTAAATGGAGAGGGGAAGAGGGGGTGAAGGGAGGGCAGGGACAAGGGGAAAAAATGAGAATCAAGACCTATTATGTAAAGGTACAGAATCCCAATGATGAATGTAATTGTATTGTATACCTAGATTGTACCAATAACCTCAATAAAAAGAAAAAATAAATAAATAAAAATAAATTTGGTAAACTATGGAAAGAAAAACAGGAAATTAATTTTTTATTCCCTTCTAAGCAATAATTTATCTGAAGTCTAAATACTGCAAATTGGGCCAGGGATTTAGTTCAGTGGCACCATGCCTGCAACTGCAAGGTTCTGAGTTTGAACTCAGACGCCAAAATTAATTAATTAATTAATACTGCAAATTCATCCAGTGTCGTTGCTTTGCAGTCTCACTTGCATGGTACTGACCAACAGCACAAGTTCAGGAGTTAAACAAGTGTGAAAACCTTAAGAACTTAAGAACATGGGTACTAATGTTGGTATTAGAACTGGGTTGTAAATTCCTATAAACAGATTGTGTGGCAACTTTTCTTACTTACAAAGCCCTAGGTTTAGACAAAACAGTAGAAAGGGGACAAAGGAAGGAATTCAATCAGATGATCTCAGTTTTTGCTGTATAAAATCTATGCCATTGGCAAATGTTACCAAGTTCAATTGGAAGTATGTGGTGAGAATGACAAGCTAAATTTTTTTAAAGCTATTCAAACAATAACTGGGAAAGAAAATCAATGTTCTATTACTTTAATAGTGATGATTTTGAAACTTTTAGAGCTTTCAATAATAACAGACTGTGGCACATGTGCCATAGGTTTGCAACTGCTGCTTTAAAGAATTTTCAAGTCATAAGTAGAAAATATTGTGGCCTGTTTAAAAAAATAAAGACAACTGCTATAAATAACTATAATCCCAAAAATTTGTATCTAGAAAAATAAAAACGAAAATACATATAATTAATTATCAAGAAAAGAATGATTAGGACCAGGAATTTAGCTCAGTGGTTCTGCCACCTGCCTCACAAGCGCAAGATCCCAAGTTTGATTCCCGGTGCCCAAAAAGAAAAGAATGATTAAGAGTTATGACAAACTATAGAGTCATATTAATACTCACCTGCTGAATGATTTTGGAAGTTTTCTGAAGATTCTCTCGGGGAGGGACTTTACCAAATAATTTCCAACCAGGAGCACTATGAACAACTGATTTGAGTTCCTTTGTTCTTGGAAAAAGGTTTCTGAAACACAGAAAGTTACATGATTCAATTATTTATAACTAGGGCCTGGAATTTAGCTCAGTTGTTCTGGCACCTGCCTCATAAGCACAAGGACCCGAGTTCGATCTCAGATGCCAAAAAATAAAATAAAATTATTTATAACCAGTGAGCTATTAAATAGTAATTTTATATCAAATTATTTTATTACAATCCCCTTTGGTAAGTATTAACCTAATTCATTGTAAGCTAATGGCAAAACAAACATTCCTAAATTGCTCTTTACATTGCAGGGTGTTGGGAAAAGTTCCTACTGTAACCATCATTTATTGTGAGCTCCCTGTTTTCCAGGTCACCCATGTCCTGCACACAACACTCATGATCACTTGTATCTTGCCCATTGTACGAAAAATAAAATCGTGGTTTGTAAGCATTATACCATTTGCTAGAATAACCAAGAAAGGAGAAAAGGTGGAACTTTGTGTCCAACAGGTCCACCATACGTTCCAGGAATGATTTTGCATACCTAGAATCCCAGTACTCAGAGTAGCTGAGGCAAGAGATCACAAGTCCAGGTCCCACTTGGCCAACTTGATGAGAACCTGTTGTAAAATTTAAAAATAATAATAAAAAGAGCTGGAGGTGTGACTCGGTGTGAATCCTTGGGTTCAACCCCTAGTACTGAAAAAAAAATTCCTATATGACTTCAGAATCATATAGTTATGAGAAAAGAAATCTGTTGCACAATGTACAATTTCTCGAATGTAACTGTACTGTATACTTAAAATGTACTAATAAACTCAATGAGGAAAAAAAAAACAAAAAAAAATAAAATAAATAGAAAGCCACAATAGAAAGTAAAAAAAACACTTTAAATCAGATCTCTATGTCATCCAGGCTGCCCTGGAACTTGCCATGTAGCTCAGGGTGGCCTCAAACCAATGACTCGCCTGGCTGAGCCTCCAGAGTGCTGGGATAACAGGTGTGCAACACCACACCCAGCTGAATTTATTGCCTCTTAAACCCATATTCATCCTTCAATATATGCTCTGTGATTGTTTTGAGCATTTCCCCTTTAAAATTAGACTATTTAGCTTTCTCAATAGAGGACACTGATGGGATACTGAAGGAGAATGAGTCTCACCTATTGTGGTGAGCTGTGGCAGAGTCAGTGGTATGATGAAAACATGTTCGGCCACTTGTCCAGATTGTGTAGTCCCTCAGCAAGTTGCAGCCTAAGTTTAGAGAAGGCTGAAAATTTCCTAAAAATTCCTAAAGCCCTCTCAGCATGGAAATATTCCACCAAAAGCTTCCTAACAGCACCAGTGTTTCAGTTCTCTCTGGAAGTTCTACACAGCTGACATGTCCCCTGCTCCTAGACAGTTCTCACCAAGCCAATTCCCTCTACAAGTTCCTATTCAACCTGCCTGCACACAAGAGGTCTTTCATCATCTATGTTAAAAACGTATGAGAAAATCTTTGTTGCCATGGTTCACGCAAAGAATTATTGAATAGTACAACAAAAGCATGATCCATAAACCATGAAACAAGTGCAATCAAATTTAAAACATTTGCACTTCCAAACAAACCACAGATACAACATGGCAAAATAGTAAAATCTAGAGATCAGTCCTCTATCAAAATAAAAACTGACCTAGAAATAGTACAATCTGATCAGATACTTTTTTTTTTTTTTTTTTTTGAGACAGGGTCTCACTATGTAGTTGAGACTGACCTGGAACTATGTAGTCCAGGCTGGTCTCGAACTCACAGTGATCCTCCTGCCTCAGTTTCCCAAGTGCTGGAATTACAGGCGTGAGTCACCCTGCCCGACTGATCAGATACTCTTAATGCTGCAAGAATACTTCATAAAGGGAAAGGCTACTGATATTTCATAAGCAAAAGGAGTATATAAATCCATTGCCTTCCTTCATTCACCAGACTCCATAGCAGCCCATGATCCTGGAGCAACTGATTAAGTGCCTAGTTGGGGGACAATGGGGAGACATCTTTCAAAATTTTGGGGTTCTGCATTTTGGTTGGTCTGACAGTATCCAAAGGACTGGCATAGACACCTGCATCAGTTTTTTACTCTCCACTACAGTATCTCTCACATGTGGTATCTATCATAGCGCCAAAGAAGGTAGAACCTCTTGTGTCCCTTTTTGTGGAGCCAGATACTTAAAGACATCTTTGTTACTAGCTGACCTTAGAGCAAAATAATAGAACAGAAACTTGTGGCCATAAATGATGAGGAATACTTTGCAAAAAATAGCTTGGAAAAATAAATGGATGGTTCTAGCCCTTAAGAAACAAAACTCAGGGCCAGGGATTTAGCTCAGTGGTTTCACTGCCTGCCTCACAAGTGCAAGGGGCCGACTTCAATCCCTGGTACAAAAAAAAAGAAAGAAACAAAAATCAGCAATCACTGAGGAGTGAGAGAGATCAATTTACAGATATACTATATTACACAACTTAGAATGCCCAGTTCTCATCAAAAAATTATAAAACATACAAAGAAACAGAAAGCATGGCCCATTTACAGGACAAAAACCATCCATAAGGAAGCTCAGGCAATGGGATTATAGTCAAAAAAGTTAAACTCTTTTTAAAAATATCCTCTAGGAACTAAAGGAAGTCATATACAAAGAACTACAGAGGCCAGGCGTGGTGGCATGCCTGTAATCCCAACACTTGGGAGGCTGAGGCAGGAAGATTGTTGCAAGCTCCAGGCCAGTCTGGGCTATATAGTGGGTTCAAGGTCAGCCTGAACTACATAGCAAGATCCTGTCTCAAAACAAAAAAACAAAAAAAGAAAAAAGGTTGGGAATTTAGCTCAGTGGCTCTGCCACCTGTCTCCCAAGCACAAGGACCCAAGTATGATCCCCTGTACCAAAAAAGAAAAAGAAAAAACTAAAAGAAATCAGAGGGGAAAATGCCAAATGAGATTATAAAGATGTACACATTGCAAAAAGGAACTAAACAAAAATTTTGCATCAAAAGACAATTTCAAAATAGTGAAAAGAAAAATCCACATTAAAATAAAAATGGAAAAATAAAATTTGGAAATAATACCTGGTAAGAATCTAATATTCAAAATATTTAAAGAGTGTCTATACTTTTTGAAAAGTAAGCAACCCAATTAAAATGGGTTTTCAAAGAAGATCTACAAATGACCACTAAACATAGAAAAAGAGACTTCACATCCTTTGTTACTAAGAAAATGCAAATCAAAACCACAATTAGAGAGTATCTGCCTAGCACGCACAAGTTCTTGAGTTCAATACCCAGTACTGTCATTTCTTTTAATTTAAAAAATTAGAAAACATATTAGATACCACTTCACACCCAGTGGGGTGGCTTTTATTTAACACACACATACACACCCACACAAGCACACACATGCGTTGTGCATACACACATACACAAAATAAGTGTTGGTGGTGATGGGGAAAAACTGGAATTCTAGTGGGCATGTAAAATGACACAGTAGATGTAGAAAAGTTTAGTAATTCCTCAAAATGTTAAATTCAGAATTACCATATGACCTAGGAATTCCACTCCTAGGTTTTTACTCTAAGAACTAAAAATAGAGACTCGAACAAATATTTCTATACCAGGGTTCACAGCAGTATTATTCACAATAGTCAAACCATAGAAGAAAGTTAAATGTCCATCAAATGATGAATGGGTAAACAAAATGTGTTGTGTACATGTTATGCAATGAATTATGTCCCTTCAAAATTCCTAAATTGAAGCTTTAACTCCTGGACCCTTAGACTGTGACTGTAGTTGGAGACAGGACTTTTAAAGAAGTTAAATGAGGTAACACGAGTGGGTCCTAATCCAATACGGTTAGTGTTAAAAGAAGAGAAGTGCCACGGATATATGTACCAAGAAAAACTTATGTGGGACGCAGCAATAAGGACACCACTATCTGCAAGCCTAAGAAAGACTAAAGGAGAAACTAAAGGAGAAACTAAAGAAAGGAGAAACTAAACCCATCAGCAATTTTAGACATTGAGCTTCCAAACCTGATAGAAAAATGGTTCTTTTTTAGGCCACCTAGTCTATGGTATTTAGTTATGGCAGGCCTAACAAAGTAATATAAAATACAACAGAATATTAATCAACCACAAAAAGGAAAAATGTTCTGAACATGCTACAATCTGGATGAATCTTGAAAACACTGCTAAGTCAAATGATTCAGATACAAATAATATAGTATTGTTTGATTCTCTTCATGTGAAGTCCCTAGAACAAGCAATTCATGGAAACAGGAGTAGAACAGCTGTTACTAGGAGATAGAAAACGAGGAGTTTCTGCTTAATTAGTATAGAGTTTCTGTATAGGATGATGAAAAGTCCAGTAAGTAAATAATCATGATGGTATAATACACTATGAAGATATATAATGGTATTGAATTGTACAACTCTATATAACTAAAATGGCAAGTTTTACCCTATTTATTTAACCAAAAATTTATTAATTTACTTATTTATTTTGTAGACAAAGTCTCATTATGTTGCCCAGGCAGGTCCAACTCCTGGGCTCAAATGACCCACCTGCTTCTCTGAGAAGCTGAGACTATGTGTGCATGCCCAGCTACCACAATTTTTAAAAAATACAAGAACACTTAAAGATAAGTCAAAGATTAAGAGAAAATATTTTTACCGCATATATCTAAGAAAAAAACTTCTACTCCAACAATACAGAGAACTCTTACATGAATGTGGAGACATTAGAACCTCATACATTGCTAATGATGTTAAAAAGTGTGCAGCCATTTTGGAAAACAACATAGCAGTTTTTTAAAAATTCATAAAACTTAGCAATTCTATGTCTTGGTGTCTACCTGAAAGAAATGAAAACACATTCACACAAAGATTTTTAACAAGAGTATTAATAACAGCAGTGTTCATAATAGAACATACGTGAATACAAACCAAATATACATCAATTATTAATGTACAAACAAAATGTGATATAATATACCCATCCAATAGAATAGTATTCAGCAACAAAAAAGATCAACTGATATATGCTAGGAATTGGACAAACTCAAAAAGTTTGCTAAGTGAAAGAAAGCAGATATATACAACCATATACTGTATTGTACCGTTCTACTTACATGAATTATTCAAGAAAGGCTAATATGTAGAGATAGAAACTAGATCAGTGGTTGCCTTGGGCAGAGGGTGGGAAAGGGGATTGACTACACAGGGGCCAAAGGCAGTGACGGTGAACTTTTAGAGGTTTCAATGATAAACAGATGGCTGCAGCACAAGTGCCATAGGTTTGTCACCACCAACTTAAGGGATATCTTTTGTATGATGCTGGCACAACTTTATAAAGGTACAAGTAATCAATGGATTTAAATGGGTGCATTTTATGGTAGATAAATAATATTTTAACAAAACTTCAGACTATAAGAGACTATTAGACTGACCATCAGAGACAATGAACAATGCCCAAAGCTGGTCTTTCATCCAGTTCAGCAAAACAAACAAAACTTCAAATGTGATTTATCACAAAAAGGTAGAAATAAAATGAGGAATAAAGAGAAGAAAATAAAATCAGATACCACAAAAATCTTAAAAAC